TACGCTGCAATATCATTAGGGTTCTCCATAATTACTTTATCATGGTGATCCAATTCACAAAAAAGGTCGCATAACTCCCCATAATATACAGAGAGGAGTTTTCCCCCTTGTTTCGCAGTAAAAGCCTTTTGATTCAAGGAGTATACTTGGAGTTCATCGATGCCATCATAGAAAGCAGTTGATAGGGCAACCCAAATTTCACGGGCAGTGGATTCGCGTAAATAGCGCTTTATGATTTCTAGGGTCATGGGTATCAACAACCACCTTTTCACTTTTTGATTTTCAGAATACCATTTTCCATACCCAGCATCGGATTCAACCGATTGCTGGGTTTTTCCGTCAATATACGAGAGTTTCTCCCTCTCAACAATATGCATCTCCATCATTTGGGACCAGACATCATAGTTTGATTCGGTAAGAATGATTCCAGCGTTGAAAGGCCGTTCAGCTTGAACAAACACCGGAGCTATTTTCGATCCAGATAATTCAATCTTCTCACCCATGATGATAGAAGAGAACGACGATTAGGGTTAAGAAATTTTGTGCGGCTCTGATACCAATAAAGTTCAGAGAAAAACAACAACAACTTTATTTCATTCATTAACATGGTATATATACAACCTTAATAGAATAGGATAAACTAATTACAGGCAAGACCCTTTAACTAAGAGCTAATTATAACATAACCTCAACAGTTATATCATATATCCACCTCCTATATAAAAGTATGTATAGAGCTTTAAAAACTCTAATCCTAGTTTGAGTCAAGTTGCTATTATCTCATAATTACATATAACCACTTTATTAATCATTAATTGTAATATTTTTTGTTTAGTCACCATTAATTATAATAAAGTCCCTAATTAACTCGTAATTAGATTTTTACCCCAATTAACTCTTAATTGGTTGTTTCTCATTTATCTTTTAGTTTCTAATCAATTATATTATTTGTGACCCTATAGGTTTAAGCATACCCGGTTGTAGGCATTCGATACTAACTACAAGTAGCATCTTAAATTAGAACTCTTTCTAATTTAGGTTGAATTAAAACTCTTCTAATTTTTCCTTTATGAAGAACAATTAATATATTTATATTAATTTCATTATTCGGACTTCTACTAATCATGAGTGACACCTATTAGTATATCATAATCAACCAGATTGTATGAAGTAGGTAAAAAGCTCATTCAGTCTACAGTTACCATAAAATTCAATTCTTCTATCGTACAATACCCCAATTGACTTACTAGGGTATGAAATTATTGTCAAACTCCTAACTCAATCTTATGTGTTCGATCTTAGGACTATGACTCTTAATGATCAATTAGAAACCCTTTTCTAATTTTCATTCTGCCTTGGTCAAGGACTCCTTGAGTCATATCCCAAAAGATAACATAGGACAATCTCCCTTTATTTACTAAGGCGATAGATTCCATGTTGTATACTCATAAGTCTTCATGCATGTCTAACTACATCCAACAATACATATCCAAGTTACATGATTAGTATATGAATATGTTATATAGTTCAAGTATAGAAGTTCATGCACAAGACAACCATGATCTCAAGTCTAAGGATCAGTTATATAACTATAACTTTAGGATTTAACATTGACAGGAATGTAAAACTCCATACGAAAAATCCTACGTTAGTTAATGGTCACGTTTAGTGTACTTGTTCTCTAACAAGCACTCACATACTTACTTCAGTGTCCCTACATTAGTGACTTGGACAAATCACCTCATATCAAAATATGTGTAAACATAATGTATGCTAGTCTATCTGGATTACATAGTGCCCACGTAGTAATCCTATGACTAGGAATATTTAAGAGTTAAGTACTAAGTAGTATACGTCTCCTCTTCTTAACTCCTTGAGAAACTATCTTCTTAACTTATACTTTATGGACTATATCATATATATTAAAATAAAATTAGCCAGTAACATGATAAATAAGCTTGCCCTTTTATTTAATTAAGTAATGAATATTGCTAGTACAATCCCAAAATGTCATCTATACGATTGGTCTTAGGGCGTAATACTAACAGAATGATCACGTGTCAAACTCTAGTCAGGTAGCCTCCAATGTCCCGTCAAATTATAACATGCACAATTAGGTGAGAAACGATGGCCGTGGGTTAGGAATTGATGTATGAAATAATTTTTGTTGGAATAAAAAATGTGTGCAACTATTCAGAAAGCTATTTGTGGTTGATTTGAGCTTGGCCACACCTTTTCTCAAACTCTGGGTGAGGTTTTCGGTAGTTGTGGTACCTAAAAAAAAAAATCGAAGACTGGAAGGGTGCTCCAGGGGTCGACCCTCCAACACTCAAGTCAATATTTAGGAAATTAAGATGCAGTAANTCGAAGACTGGAATGGTGCTCTAGGGGTCGACCCTCCAACACTCAAGTCAATATTTAGGAAATTAAGATGCAGTAATTGAATTGGACTCAGTGTGCTTATCTAAGTCATACCTCGAAGGTCCCTTTTTATATTATTTTGATAGGTGTTCTAGTGAGAGCGGATTCTAGGCTATTCTAGTAGTTTGCATTTGTCTGATCTCCTTTCAGTTAAGGAGTATTGGCTTCTGTAGACTTTCTTCTTTGTTGAGATAACCATCTAGAGTCCTAACTGTGCTAAGAGTTTGTTTGATCATGCAGATAAGGCTTGCCGAGGGTGGGATCTTATCCTTATCCCTTGGTTGTCTTATCTTCTTCACAATATTTAAACAAATCATGTCATTTCAACGAGTCTTTGGCAGATAAGGTTCCTATTTTAAAGTTGGGAATAAGCTTTGCCATTCTTTTGGTTTCCTCATCCCACCAGGTTGGAAAAAGTTGATTATCTGAGCTCATTATTCCTCCAACTATTCTTTCTATTTAACAAGTCAGTCAACGGTTGCATTTCTAAAGGTAGTGTCAACTAGGACCTTTCCTTCAGTAGAGATTAAATTTTCCCCCATCAGGTTCCCGTAATTAGGTTTCCCAAGCTAGTGGAGATTTTCTCCCGTTGAAAATATGACCGTTACCTTTCTCTGATTCTTGAAGCATATTAATTGTGCATCTCTTTAGATAAGGTAGCCAAGTTGTTGTAACTATCATCCCTTACCCTATTTAAAGGGCGGTTAGGGCCTTTGGATTGGCAAATTTTGCCTTCCCTCTTTGATCTCTCTCCTAAAAAATGAGCTATTTGTTCTCCTTTTTGGGTTTCTCAAGTCAAAAATACTTATCTATTTTCCCTTTCTTACTACTCTTACTTTCCATGGCTTCTCAAAAATCTTCATCAGAAATTTCCTCCTTCTTTACTTAAGAGGCAAGAATAGAAGAGGTTGGACTTGTGGAGGATATTCGAGAAGAGGTCTTTGAAACCCCTAGTTACTTTGCCTAGGGAGTCTCCAATACCATTACCGATGCTGATCTTTCCCGTCTTTACTCCAAATTTTGCATTTCTAATTTCATCTTATTGAGAGCTCCTGGTGGTGATGAAATAGCTTGCAATTATCATGGAGGGGAGGTCTGTATGTATGAAACAACCTTCAATTATGGATTCAGATTTCTTTTTCTTCCTTATGTTCGCAAATTCTTGTCTTTCTTGAACATTGTTCCTGCCCAACTCACCCTAAATAGTTGCAGGGTGTTAATTGAGTTTGGTGCCTTATGGAGCTCTGTCCATGGTGTTGACTTTTTCTCACTGTTTGGTGGTGGGGTGACAGTAATGGTGGGGTGACGGTGGTGGTGGGATAACAGTGGTAGTGGTAGTGGTGATGGTGGTGGGGGCGATGGGGGTGGTGGTGGTGAGTAGTTCAAAACACTATTTTTTTTAAAAAAAATATTTATGAGAAATTATAAGTCTTATAAACACTTTTAAAAAGTTATCCAGACCAAGCACACCCTTAGAAATCTCAATCGCGAATAGTAAAAATCATTTTATTATACAGTATATCTATATAATAAAATAACTTACAATTCAAATTTCAAAAGATAAACAAAATGACTTTTGTTTTTAAAAAAATAGTATTTGGAAACGCCCCACCACTATAACCACTACAACCACAACTACCCCCACCACCACTACCACCTTCGCCGCCGCCACCTACACTGTCGCCACCCTACCACACCCACCACCCAACCACCATCCCCACTACCACCACCCACCACACCGCCGCCTCCACCTCCACCTACACCTCCACCGCCCCACTACCACCACCACTGTTGCCACACCCTAACTCCATTGCCATCCCACCACTACCATTGTCGCCAACACACCATCGTCGTTGTCTGCATCACTGTCGCCACCACCCTCCGTCACCACCACCATCGCCACTACCCCTCCTCAGCCCCCTGTCATCGCCACCCACCACCGATTGTTACCATCGCCACCACCCACCACTCACCATCATCGTCATCTTATTTTTATATTTATTACCATTACCACTATCATCCCACACCTACCGTCAGCACCCACCATCACCATTGTTGTCCACCGTCACCCACTACTACAACTCACCACCATCCGTCGTCGCTCACCATCACCACCAACTACTATCACCCCCCCCCCCAACCACACCTACCACCGCCACCACCCACCACTACAGCCACCCACTACCACCATCGTCACCGCCCATCACCACTGTCGTTGCCCCACCACCGCCACTGCCAACTACCATCACCGTCGTCCACCACCACCCACACCCACCACCACTACCACTATCACCCACGACTGTCACTACCACCATCATCATCGTTGTCATCCACGACTGTCACCACCACCATCACGATGGTCGCCACCCACCACAACCATCACCATCTCCATCCACCATCACTACCACCGCTCACTCCCATTATAATTGGTGTTTAAATTTATTTTTCTCTCCTCTATGTTTGTGATTTAATTTTGAGTGTGAATACAAATATATTTATTATTGATCATTTTTATTATTATTCCGTGCCTTCAGGAACATGAAACAGCAATCCATATATCCTTCCATCCATCTGAAAACATGGTGGTTTGTTTTAGTTCTCTCAATGGCAGCGTCATCTTTTAATTTATCTGCTGCAGCTATTTCATACACCATCCCTCTTTCGTTGAGATATCCACCCAACTGCAACTAGCCCACACTGTTAGCAAAAACACTACCAACTACACTTTCTGTGAGGAGGCTCTTTATTCCGACCCACGTCCCCCCCACCGCAGATCGATATGTACTTGCCTACATAGCTTTTGACTTGGCTTATGTGAACGCCACCCATACCAACGATTACATAGGCTCGCTGCTTAAGAATGTCGCAACAACAAATCATAGTAAGCGGCCAGAGCTAGCCCGTCAACTCCAAAGATGCCACGGCTTTTATGGGCAGGCCGTTCAAGTTCCTGCAGAAGCCCTCAATGATTTGGACTCTGAGACTTACTTCAATTTGGGTCTTTTGGCTGTTGCCGCTGATCATTCTGCCCGTGATTGTGAAGTCACTTTCAATGCTCACTCTTCACTGTCCCGGATGAATCAAAACTTGAGGAACCTTTCCAAAATTTGTCTCGTCGTCTCTAAACTCTTAACAATATCTTGATGTGTGTGAAAAGCCAGATTTTTAATTATATCTGTTCCTTGAAGACTGCCGAGAGCTTTGGATTTAATTCCAGCATCTTCAATTTTGTTTCTGTGTACTTTTTTTTTTTTTCCGGTGGTTGGATAGGATGGAGATTATGGTTCTCTTGGTAAGCCCGGTCCCCAAGTACAAGTATCACGTGCAAATCATCAATAACAAATAAGCCTAGTGAATTTCACTCAATTTTGATTCCACTCAATTTGATATGCGGTGATTTTTAAAAATTGTACGTAATTGAAATAATGGAATGTTCACTTTAACAGAGGAGTATTTCAAGTGGTAATTAAGACAAATTATAAACTCAAACATCTTTAATTCAAATGTTGGCAATCACATAAAGTCAAAAATATAAAAAATTATTCCTCATGAATGTCCTAATCTCGGCATGAATACTCTATCTTTAACCGAACAAAAAAAAAATTAGTCAAAGTACACATACACTGACCCGAATATCTCTTTACATTTGCCAGCCACAAAACAAAAGAGTCTTAATGTTGGTGCCAACAGTATGCTTTAAGCATGACAGTCCGGTTTCTAACATTTGGAAGATCTTACTTGTCCAAATTACTTTTGGAGAGCTTGTCTTGGCTGCCAACAAAAAGAAAGAGAAGACATTAACCTTCTAAAAGAAGAAATTTGTCCATCAACTGCCGAGAACCAACTTTACTTCTAAGTTCCAAGAATTTCTTGGGATACTCTCTCCTAAGCAACCAAGGTTATAAGAGATCAAATGAGACATTTTTCTACATCCAATAAACCAGCAATCCGTAGCTCCTGTACTAAGTGTCATCTCCCACTTCGTTCTCTTGAAAACATCTCCAAATGTGGTTCATGCATTCGAGTGGTTTTGTAGCATAGGTTTTGAAGACCTAGTATTTTTAACAGGCAACAACCCAAGCCAGGCTACATTCACAGGGAAGTGTTCTGATCATTATTCCACTATGCTTGCTTCTCCTCCAATGTTAGTCATGGTATGGTAGTGTCACCTGCCCCATTTTGCCATGCACATCAGACCCAACTACCTTGCAACCTGAATACAACTTGCCCCCTTCGCTTCAACCAAATTGATCCCACTCTCCAGATCCTTGATGACTCCATGGCCAAACCATGTCAGAAATTGCACTTGGATAATACCCCTACAATTAATAATTGTTGTCATAAATTCATCCACTCCTAAGCGGTTTCTTATGACCCAACACTTCATGGGCTGTATCACGAAGCTAAAACTACAAAATAGAAGCACCCTTTATCGTTCATCAATAAAGTTCACAATCATTATTCATGGTGATAATCATATACAGAGAAATCATTATAGAGCAGAGAGCCATTTTCATAGTGGAGCATATAATAGCAAAGACCACAGAAATAACAAGGATGCTCTGTGGCCCACTTGTCATCTATTGTCACTTTTTCCGCTCTATAGATCTTGCAAACAGAGCACTTCCGGAAACGTAATTTTACTTGAAATGTGACTAATGGGTAAGCTGCCCGATTCTGTACATCCTCTGGATGAATCAACCTCATGTCCCTTATTACGATGATATGCTTGCAATCCCCCTTGTAACAAGTAGTAGTGGTCCAAGAAAACAAAAACAAAAACATCAGAGCAAGGCATCCACACGTAAAAAATGCATGACATGAATCCATATTCTGGAGAAAATCTTTATGCAACACAAAAACAAGGTGCTGGCATTAACTAGCATGAAAGCAAGTGATACAAATACCAAAAAAACAGAAAGCAAGTGATGGAAGGGAATACCTGGTGACAATAAAGATATCCAGCACCAAGTCGAAATTTTAGGTCACAAAAACGCATTTGGTGCATGTCAACAGCTTTAAATTTAGGCAACTGTGGTTCAGTGTCGCTGCCTAAAATTGACTTTTGCTTCTGTTGTAGTTCACCAGATACGATGCATTCCCATTTTTCAAGTGCTTCATTTTTAGAATTTTTGAGCCAATTAAGTATGGGCTCACTGTAGTCTATAGCAGAGGCCTCCCTCAAATCATTGCAAAAAAGATCCTAGAAGAGAAATAGCATTCAGTTGGAACAGCAACAAGCTATATTTCTTAAGGTAACAACAATTGAGTTCACGTAGAAATTTACTTCAATGAGGAAGTAACCAGAAGAATCATGCTGCCCTGCTTTTTTCATAACCTCATCTGTCAAGCAATATATCTTGTCTCTCAATTCAGTCAAGAATTGCCGTCCAAGAACCAAGAATTCTTGAGTCTGAACAATTTCACAAAACCATCAATATCCGAAGGGGAACACAAGTCAATTTAAAGAACAATAGAAAATAAAACTTTTGCTAACCTACCAATAGCNGAACAATTTCACAAAACCATCAATATCCGAAGGGGTACACAAGTCAATTTAAAGAACAATAGAAAATAAAACTTTTGCTAACCTACCAATAGCAGCACCCATGTGTCTGGAGTGTTTAATTTTCTTATGAGCTTAGATCTTTCTCTATTTTTGGTGGGAGTCGTGGGAACAATGATCAAAATTTCATTTTGGTGCATAATTTCAGTCATCGCAAAAACGGAAACATTTCGGAAATAAAATGGAATCAAAGAAAAATGGTGGAATTTTGGTTCTGAAAAATTCCAAAATACTGGAAAAAACATTCCAAATCATGCTAATTTTGATTTTCGAAAATTAATTCTTCTTCCCACCAAAACCAAAATATTGTGGTGGAAACGATTGAAACAAATCAAAATTTTGATCCTGGATTGAGGCAAAAGATGAAGACCAAAAACAATTTCCTCAGCGAAAAGACTTTATGAAATAATCTGTCCATGCACAATATCGAAGTGAATTGTTTTCCACATCATAGTAACAGCAAACATAAAGCATATTACTACATGCTCAGTTCCTAAAAAAAGGCAGATGGTCTGTTTCTTACTGTCTCAACAACACAGACCACACTCCGTACAATTACCCTGTGAAACGCAGACCACAAGCACATAATTGGCCACGCATAAATATAGCCACCCTCTCATAAAACTGCCAAGTGTTGATCATTAAAAATCTTAGGATTGATAAATATAGCCACATGCTCTCTTCTTTCTTTTACACATTACATTCTTTTTTGTCATTTCTATGATGAGGGTATACTAATTGTTAACCTTGTTAGTTGGTTCAATTTAATCCCCAGGGAGCTAAGCTTTTTTTCTCGTGGGGTTTTCACTTCCCAAAGTATATGAAGGTGAAATGTCACGGGCTCAAACCACGATGTAAAATTTAATTTATCCATTATTATATAAGATTTAACTGTAAATTGCCTTGTACTTATTTGACTATAACTATTAATACCACAAATTAGAAAGGGAAAACTGTCTCAAAAGGAACATAAACTCTTGTAAACTGTTGCAAAAATGTAAAAGAGCAAATTGGATAAAGCAATGTGTTCGTCATAAATTGGGAGATGAATTAACACAAAGTATGAACAATGGCAAGCCCCCATATACTCCAGCATTTGGTCTACCCAACACCTATAAAGCATGAACAGCCCTTAAGAAGGTAACGTATTCGTGTCAGACAATAACATTCTTTGGACACTCTCAGACCCGTGTCCAATACTCTTTTATCCGTGTCTATAATTAAATAATAAATTTTATTTTCGGACACGTGTCCGACACTTTTTAAACCATGCCCACTACTACTAAACAATAAACATACGTTGACAAATGATTAAGAAAGGTTAAAATTTTGATTATAAATATCTTATATTCAAGGATCAAAATTTTGTTTCAGTATATTGTTTCAGTTACCTAGGAAACGAAAATGTTTCGATATATTTCAAAAATGTTTCCACCCTTTTCGAAAACATAATGAAAAAAATAAAAAATTTAAGAATTATTTTTTTAAAACATTGATTTAAATATATCGAAGTAAATTGAAATATCTTGAAACATTCCGAAACAATTGTGCAAATGCATTGAAATATTATAATACATCTCGAAACATTATGAAATATCTTGAAATATTAGAATTTCGATTCCATCACTGATTCATTTTGGTCTCCTTGAAAACGAAAATGTTTCAGATATTTCGACTGTTTTGAAACAATAATTTGATCCTTACTTATATTATATATATAATTATCTAANCATATCTTGAAATATTAGAATTTCAATTCCATCACTGATTCATTTTGGTCTCCTTGAAAACGAAAATGTTTCAGATATTTCGNTCTTGAAATATTAGAATTTCGATTCCATCACTGATTCATTTTGGTCTCCTTGAAAACGAAAATGTTTCAGATATTTCGACTGTTTTGAAACAATAATTTGATCCTTACTTATATTATATATATAATTATCTAAACTAGATATGTTAAAGTTGTACTCAAAATATAATAACAAAAACAAAAGATGCATAAAAGTTTAAAAAACGAAAAATTGAGAAAACAATAACAATCATTTTTTTTCGTATAGTGTGCATGTATTCTCTTCTTCCCCAAATTTCTAATTTGTTGATTAAATTCCAATTAGTCATACTTTCTTGACATTCAAACTTATAAAAGGAATTTATGAAGAAAAAAAAATCTTTCGATTTTTTAAAATATAAAGATTAATGCTATTTGGTGGCATAATGATGCGAGATTAAATGTTTCCAATATTACTATCCTAATGATACCAAAGGAGATACCATGGTGAAAGATGAAACAATTTAGGTCAAGTTACTGCTTTTCAAGTTCGAGTAATAACTCAAAAATGATTGACCACGAAAAATACATGTTTCAAAGGTAAAGGAAAACATTTTAAAGGCTATTTGTGATCGTAATAACAGCTTAATTATGATCTATTACAATATCTATAATGGATCTCGACATTTATAATTGATCGAATAATCTCAAAGAGTTATAACTTATTTATTAAAAGTTGTAACTTAGCATTTAAATTTTTAATTTTCAGTACAATCTCTTTTTGACATCATAGATTTACCATTATTCTAATTGCAACTCTTAGAATTTTTTATTAAACTACATCACTTAATACATTTTTAGGTCAAAGTTTTCAAATATCAAAAGTATTATTCAAATATAAAGGTAGTGATAAATTTTAAAAATATTTTAGTAGGAGAAAATTTTAAAAACCTTAAATTTTTTAAAATTTCAAACATACTTAAAAAAATTTTTAGGATTGCACTAAGGATAGTTGCCCCCACTACCCCCAGTGTAAATCTGCCCGTCTCCCATCATCATACTTCCTAGCAGCATGGCCCCCAATATAATTACACCCATAAATAGCATGTTTAGATATAGTTCTAAAAAGTAAAGCTTTTATCTCGTAGTTGTTATTGCTTCCTCAAGAGAAAATCACTTCATCTTCACCATTTGTCTCCTGTCTTACCAATAGATTTCATCTATAATCGGGTAAAAATAAAAATCAGTTCTTTGATGAAATGGTATAGCACATTGAAATCTACTTTTGACATAGGACATGATTCAATGGCAACTTTCATAGTAGATATAAATTTGCTAAGTATATACGAGTCCATAAGGCACAAGTCTAGCTAGCACTCTTTAAATCTAAAGCATCCAAGGCAATAACCAGAAGTTAATAGAAAGTAAACAATAAAATGGTATCAAGTTCTACCATTGAACTAAGATGACAAAAATAATGCCATAATTTTATCCTGCAATAGAAAAACAGTGATCTACTGCTTGCCATAAAATCAAAAGATGAAATCCTCTGGTGTGGACTAATAAGAACCAAAAGTGATCAATACTGAAATGCACTTTTACCTTTGCTGATGTTCGTCTGTTGTGGTAAACCTCAACACAAAGAGAAACATCAGGATAAAGCAGCGGCACATGTTCACTTGTGTTTGATGACCTCACCTGATATGCATATGAGAGGTAATCAACCATTTGAACAGCCAAANACTGATGTTCGTCTGTTGTGGTAAACCTCAACACAAAGAGAAACATCAGGATAAAGCAGCGGCACATGTTCACTTGTTTTTGATGACCTCACCTGATATGCATATGAGAGGTAATCAACCATTTGAACAGCCAAATTCGCCAAAGAAGATGATGGCATAATAAATTTTTGGGTGACAAATTAAGATGATCAAAAGCGACGGTTTGCCGATGAAAATGTTACTACAAGTTCTTTAATTATCTTCTATATTCGAACGTAGCAGGCAGAACACCCCCAAAATAATAAAATCCAAACAGGTTTCCAGCTTTCTGACATAAAGACAGGTATGGGGTCACTAATACAAAATGCAAGGAAACAACGATATGCCAATTGAAACAATTCATTGAAAAAAAGTGAAATTCGGATCTTCTGGAGTTCGAACTGTAGCAAACAAAGAACATTATGGTAATTACAAAGCATTGTCAATCCATCATTACATCGGTGTCAACATCCACATGGTATTCTTGTTGATTTCTTTCGAAATTAATCATCAACTACACGCTATTTAATGGTAATATGAAGGCCCTATCCTGGTAGCAAGAATCAGCAGACACATCATCATGCTACTAGTAACTGTCAAAAGCACATAAGCTAATAACATCAGAGCCTGATATAACATAACCCAAAACTTTAATAACTACAAAGTGTGTGGATGCCAAATTGATGCAAACCCTCCTGCAGCTAAAACCAGCTAAAATTCTAGAATATTGTTCAGACTTCAAAAGTCTTGAAGAGCTGAAAACAAAGGGCCCTCCTGTTTTTGGGGCACATTGGTTGATGACCAACCTCTTATCACATTTCCCTTCGCCTACATACCCCATCCAGTATACAAAGGAAATTGAGGTTTGTTCTAAAAGATAGATTCCAAAACTATTTGATCTAACATCCTTGCAGAGTTGCCAGAATAGAAGAACAGTCAAGAGCACTCGGAAGTTTGGAGAATATGCAATAAAATCAGATAGTTGCATTGCAGAGAATCATGGTTTATAATGCATCACAAGGAATATTAGATACAGCCAACAAGGTTAGGAATTTTTTCCGGTAAACCTTTGTTGAAGAACTTGTAGACTTGAGTGATGTCACCCTCTCATTTTTCTCTGAGAATATAGATGCACTTTCATTGATCCTGCAACTTCCACTGGACGAAGGTAAAACCCAGAGGTCATCATTATAGGACATTAATCTGCCACACTTACCCAATTCAGGTAGAGAGTGAAAAAGAGACGCTGATGACTGTGTACCATGCATGCGTTCAGGAAATACTTACTTGAATGAATGCAACCTCGCTGCTGCTTTATTTTCATCTTGTTTTTGTTTAATTCTTGCAAGTTGCTCCACCTTAGCAATATAACTTCCCTGAACATGCAAAGAGAGGATATAGTGAGGCAGCATTTAATAGTTTCAAAGACAGTGAATGGGTATAACCACAACTAGTTGACATATTTGCACAGAAGCTGACATATAACCACAACAACATTGATCAAAATTTTTTTAGCTTTTATTCTAATGCTGTAGGCAATAATCCAATGCTCAAACTATACAGCCAAAACATGTTAGTATAACACCTCAACTAGACAACTTAGCTCAACAAAGCCTTGTCACAACTATTTGGAGTCTGCTACATAAATCCTTTTTTGGCTGTGTGACCTATCAAGGATAATAGTTTTTGTTAAACCACAGACTATTATATCCTTTTTTATTTTCTCATTTAAAGTTAACTTCGGTATCCATCTACGCCTCACATTAGTATCCATAGGTATCACATTACTGCTTCTCCCTAGTGGATCTTCTATAGACATGTTCAGATCACCTAGGTCGATTCTTTCTTAGTTTAACACCTAACAATCTAAAAATATAGAATAGCCCCACATAAATATGTCCACATCAAATAATCGAATTTCATGGTTAATTAAGGCATATATAAAACAGCGTAGGGCAAAAATTCTCCACCAAATACAAGTAGTTAAGGAAACATCAAAACCAAGTTATTTAGTTGACCCATATAAAAATTTCCACAATCACACACTAAAAGAAACCTAATTATACTAACTGACATCATAACTGAACAACACAAATAGAGATGCACACCCAAGCTAAGGAGCATACATTAAGGGTATGACTCTTCTGATTCATGCGTCTCTTTCTCTTCCTCTTCTTTAAGGTATCTTCACTCAATTCTTGATTATCACCAGTTCTAAGAGGAGAGCCATTTGAGGACACAATCGAAGTTGAACCATCCCTTTCTCTTTCTAAGCTTTCCAAACAAGCATGTTCATGGCTTGATATTCTGCTATCATCTTTTCTCCTGAAATTAGTATTAAAAAAACCAAATATGTTTGGAACTTTACAAGCAGTTAAACTGAAGGTGCATCACACAATGGAAATAGAAGTATTGGCGAAGAATAATGTCTGACAACTACAAAAAAAAAACGGTTTATAAAGTAACAAATGGTGAAGAGCATGACTACCAAAGTATGGGTTACAGATAGTGTTGCATACAGTAGCATATAGGAAGTACAAGCAATTCCGCATAGCAATACACCTCATCCTTTTAGTGTGGCTGAAACTTGAATATACTTGAATTAAATATGTAAGAGGATCCGCGCAACAATTTTTACTAAATACCACATCAATAGAACTAAGACATCCCAAGGATACAAAACTAACCTCACTATGCTTTTAATCCTTTTGTTCAGTTTTATTCCCCTAGAGCAAATGCCATCCCGCCCATCCCTACTATCTATTATATACAAAAATTCTACCAGACAAATGAAAATTCTTTCTTTTTTTTTTTCATCAAAGACAAATGAAAATTCACTGGATGAAATTTGAAGGATCTATCACAGTAAATTCGATTCATCAGAGTGAGCCTGAAGCAGAAATGAAAACCTGATAAATTTTTTAATATATTTTCTATGAGACCTACCATCAGATTTTTAAAGGCACTCCTAAGTTTGTCAAAATCAAACCACAGGTTTTAGTTCAAAATATATGAAGTTCTGATCACTAGACCACAAACAGTTCCCATCTTAAAGTTTTTATACTCAAGAGTTTAAGAGTCAACTGATACACATTACTGTTCCAAAAAATTGTGAAGATAGTGATCAAAAAGTTAGGAAATATACATACCTACAGAGCAGGTGAGCAGCATATCCAAATTGTCCAATACACAAGAAGAAGAAAAAATGGATACAAGAGATTAAGCAGTTGTCTTATATTGCCAGAGTGACATTTCATGGCAGACATATATGTGCAAGAATTTCCCAATGCAGTAAATCCCTAAAATATCCAGGGAGTATAAACCACACAATGCTAATAAGTAGCTTAAAACGATGAGTAAAATTGCAAAATAACATAACAGAATCATATTTGCTAACCCTGCATTCACGTGCTCTTCTGGAACTTGTGAAGAATTTCCTACCTCACCATCCTGCAATCACCCCCCAAAAGTTTGTGATGCAAACCCCTAAGAAATACAAAAAGAATATAAGCCACGTACCTTGAATGCTTCCTTGAAAGCCTTATTTACCAACTCTTCCTCGGTAATAATTTTAAGCTCATCAACTCTGTGAGGCATAAAGGGTTAAACTTTATAGCATAAAAAGTTATAACAACCATACTCAAAGCATGCATACAGCAAGTAATCAACTGTAAAGGAGAGTAAACAATTGAAGTTTATGCTCGTCATAGGTTCATTGATTGAACACTTATTGGAGACTATAATTACATCAATTTTTTGGAGAGCGGGAGGGCGAGGGAGGTGGAGGGGGGGAGAGAGAGAGAGAGAGAGAAGCACAGAAGGATGAGATTTCTTTCAAAAAATAATACATTCAGAGGAATGAATTTATTTTTTTCAAATAACAAAAAGTAAAGCCAATACAAGAAAAACAAAAAAGCAAAGAAGCCCACCCCAACCTGATATAATTGAAGAGGTAAAGAGCCATCTAAGTAATCAATGCCTAGCACGCCCTTTTCAGTAAACAATTCACATCCTCATTAATCCATCAAAGGACCCAACTCACCTCCAGCCGGACCAGCCCAATAATGCATAAAAGTCTCCAACCTCACAGATCATATATCTGTGTTACAAAGGACCCAGACTTGTTGATCTAGCCCAACCAATGCCCAAAGAAGAGCACCGATCATCTAAGACATCAGAGAACTCCAACCCATTGCCAACGTTAAACCTTCTGGGCAAGCAAAAAATCTCAACTTTGATGGCCCAACATACAGCAGATAGAAATTAGATGAAACAAAATGGTTTACCCGCAAGCAAAAAGGTAAAACTTAAGTTTCCTTCGTAAACAAGGGTTCACCATCTCAAAAGTGGGATAGTCACTCATTAGAGATGCTCTTAATAACATGCACGTTCTAGCAATGAAGATGATGCAAACCAAGACAGTGGATGCAGCCGTGGCGTGATTAGAGTGGCAGTGATAAAATAAAACATTTTTTCATTCACCATCATGGAACTTTTTCTTTTTCCTCTGGTAGACATCATCCAAAGTTTCAAAATACCACTATAAACTTTTAGATTGGCAACTTATGATATTCTTCCACTTCAATTGCTTGCTCATAGCAGAAAAAACACATGTATTAGCAACTCAACAGTCCTCAATGGAAATATAATTGGTCCTCTTTTCATTATTTTGCAGGCAGCTTCAAAGGTGGTGTTTTGATTGGTTGCTTCCAAGGAAATAAGCTTAATATTCACTTCTCACTCATATCACAAACTGTAGACACCATGAGACATCCCTATACCCACATTTTTTTGGGGTATTCTTTTTCCATCAAACTGCATTTTTTGGTTTTCTTTTCAAAATTCATTGGAAGGTTCTCCGAGAAAGAGTTGAACAGAAAACTTACGAAATATCCTCACCGCAAGGTTCAAGCGAGTCTGAGGAAAGCTCCTCCACCTCCGCCTTGAGATCCTACATGAAACCAAAAGAAAGGCTATCAAATATTGGGTAAAAGGGCAAAAAAAAAGCATCTTAAACAGGCATAAATAAAGTTATATACATGTCGAATGTATAATTAATCACATTAGATGAGTTGCATACCCTACCTGAAGCTGATGAAACACAACAGACTCAAAGTCGGGAACTCGGGTGAGCGGACCCACCATGTCAGGGACGTATATAGGGCCACCACGAGGAATTGAAACGTAAGTGGCGTCTCCTCCATCTTCAACAATGCAAAACTCCAGCATCCCCATTGTTATATTCACAAACCTACAAGAAAAATTAGGGATTTGATATTTCTGTGAGATCTTCTGCCTCTCATTGAAATGTGTAAAATGCAGAGCCAAAGACTCCGGTCGGTGACTCAAACCTTCCTCCACTGATATGTTTTGGGTAAATTATTTTGATTAGATTTGGGTAAGTTTTTATGGAATAAGTAATATTATAATAGTAAACCTCATCACTGAGCTAGTTTGAGACACGTTTTAATTCTATTTTTAATTATATCTCTATAATGTTTCTCTATTTAACACCTAAAAATCATTAAATATTATATCTTACTATTAAACTTGAATGATACTTTCTTCATATAAAATACTAGAAATTATCCATACCAGAAGGCACTGCATTAAATAAAACAATAATTAGAAGACATACCAAATAGAAGAGTGTCAAATTAGATGACATACAAAATAGAAGAGAACTAATGACATTGTGGAATTTACATTTCATAACGTCACCATTCACTATTTCAACATTCAACCATTTATTCAGCAACATTACCATCAACAACATATTACATGAGTAATAATAAAAAAAAAAAAAACAACAACAAATTACATGTAGCTAATACCAAATTTACTTTGCATCAGCCACCCAACTCAATCAAACACCAAAGTTATTTTCTTTTTACTCACTCAAACATCAACACAACTTTATTTTTTTCCCCTATATTGTCATGGCACCAAAACAGAACAGGTATAGATGCACACCCACAATCATAACTGTACGAATGCTAATTATAGAGATTTACTTCATAGATCAAAGACATATACAATTATTCTAATATGTCACATTCCTAATGCACAAAATTTCAAAAACAAAGAACACAAATCAACCCAAATAATTACAAGAAATTTGAAAAAATAATAAATTTAAAATTAAGTAATCCATTTGTGTGTGCACAACGGTGTCAATCTGCAAGATTCCCATGAATACACTCAACAGTCACAAACCCCTTCCTCCTATCACAAAATTAAAAATTCTCAATTTCACATCCTATCTCACAATGGTCAAAAGACATATAACAGCCAACCATTTAGGGTCATACAATGTATATTGCACATGTACAATAATACCAAAAAAATAAATAAATTCACAATATAAAAGGTATATTGCAATTTCGCAAACCATGATGTATATTGCATACATACAATCATACAACAAACATACAACACATGAAACTCACCCACCAATTTCCATATTGAAATAATATCAAAGAGCTAGAAAAAAATAATAATTATAAAATAAAATCAGTCTAAAACTAATTTCCTTGATTCCAACTCTGTCACTCCTTGTTGTCCACGCTGAAGGCCACTCAAATTAAGTTGTGTTGAAACTCACCGTTGCCTTGAAATTAACACGATGGACCAAACATTCTCAAATTCAATATAGTTATATAAAATCAGTGAGGAATACCAAAAAAAAAATTAGAGATAAACCAATAAGATTTAATTCACCCAAATCAAAAAATATCTAGGTGCAAGCAAAAAAAAAAAGACCCTGATGAGTTTTTCACAGTAAAATAAATCAAATATCTTGCATGTTACTCTCTATCAAAAACACAAGTCAAAATTTTTAAATGAAAAGAAAGGAGTACATGTGTGTTGTGCTTGCAGAATAGTTTTATCTCCCAATGATATTGTGTAGGGGATAAAATTCAACTTCCTATATGTTTTATTGTATAGATATGCTAAGGGTAATCCATACCCTTAGTATTTAAAAAAATCGAGCACTAAATTTGGGCACAAAATAATCAAGCATTGAACTCAAGTGGGTACTAAGTTGAAAACCAAAATTGCATCTTTTAACACACCCGCGCTTTACATATATCAATACACACCCGCACTTTACATATATCAATATCATGATTTACCATGAAGAAAACTTCCAACTTTTTGTAGTCCACCACTGTCAAAAATAACCCCACAACCACCTAGATAACAAAAATAATGTAGCAAAATCCAATCAAGCATAAAATTCCCTATTCAAGCACAAAAAATTCTCATAATCATAATTCCAATCAGTAATATTGTAGCAAAAATCAACACTAATTCCAATAATATAGGTAGTTAAAACAATCACTCAAAAGACAACTACTATGAATTCATAGGCAAAAACCTCGAATTATGATTTCTTCCGCATGATCTACTTGGAATAGCCCCCTCAAATGTCTGAGCAAACCCAAAAAAATCAATCATCATTTAGCAAATAGTAGTCAAAGATGGAGTTTAAATTGTATGTGTTTGAGAGAGCAAGAAGCAATGGGTGTTTGCGCAAAAGGGGAAGAAATTTTTTTTTTTTTTTTTTTTTTGGGCGGGGAGATGCGCGTATGTATAGTGCAGGGTGTGTGTGTGTGTGTTTCCACAGAAAGGGGAGAATTGGGTGAGGGAGTTACCAACAAGGGAGAGAAAGGCAAAAAAGGTGGGGGTTTGCAGAGATGACGGAGGGAAATGTTAGGTTTGGGAGCGAAGGGGAGAGAATGGAGAAGGGTTTAACAGTGGTGTGGCGGCACAGGTCTGTGATGCAGTATTTATGAAGAACAAAAGAAATAAGAACAATAGTACAATGTATTCCAGTCCTAAATACTTTATGATAATGGGAAAGAATACATTAGCAGATGAAAAGTCACCCAATAAACCTCAACCTAATTAATCCAAGTCTTAGAAAATAAATTGATTTTTTGGACGTGTAACTATAAAAAAAACAACTACAAAAAATCTACAAAACACTAAAGAGACTGAAAATGTATTTACGCCTCTAGGATTCAAAAGTTTTGTTAGACTTAGAACCACCACAACAAATGAAAATAAACAAATCAAATCAATAACCATAAAGGAACTTTTTACTTCAGTTTAAATTCTTAAATTATGTCAATAGTTTAATTTTTTACTTTTGATGGATAGTTTTGCTAGCATATCAAGTGCACCGCATATTCGCCTAATTATTCAGAATCAAAAGATACACAATAAACAATTTAATGAATAGTTAATTAATAGAAACATGAATCTATTGTGTTAGATGCTCAAACAAACACAATATATTGTAAATTCAAATCCCATACAAAGGCCAATTTGAAAATCCTCAGTTCTAGGCATAAAAATCAAACTGAATTCACAAATCCAATCAAACCAAATCAAACCGAGTTCCCAAATTAAAATTGAATCTAATCAAACCAAGTTCACAAATCCAAATTGAACCTAATGGAGCCGAATTCAAATCGAACCTAATCAAAACAAATCCAAATTGAACCCAATTACACCAAATTCAAATTGAACATAATCAAACCAAGTTCATAATATCAAATTGAACAAAATCTAGTGCAACTATAGCAAACAAACAAAATATAGCAACTATAGCAACCATCATCAACTATATAGCAAACAAAATATGTTTCCCAAATTCAATGGAGCAATATTACAAAGACCTAGTGCAACTATAACAACCATCATCAATTCCAAAATAGTAATGCTATACTGACCAAATTTTGTGACCAAATTAAGAGCCCAAATGATATGGCAGCATATTATTTGTAGTCTTTACTGAGACCCAAATGATATGACATCAAATAAAGAAGCCCAAGTCAGTTGTCATGTCATTTGCGCTCTTAATTTGGTCCTAAAATTTGGCCAGTGTAGCATTACTGATTCCAAAATTAGTTCAAGCTCAATGTGAAACTCAAATCACCTTTCAACTTCCATTAGGTTCCATGGAAATTACATAACAAAAATCTCATTCAAAACAAAATCAAATAGCTGCAAAAGCAAAGACTAAAATAAATAGAAGTAACTATAAAATAAAATCAGTCCAAAGACTATGAATTGAAAATCTGCAATCAAACTTTTCTGATAGATACTACGTAGTTGTAATATAAAAGGGACAACTGGTAAAATTTAACCGTTGGAGTTTGGAAACATTAATAAAGTGCATTATGAAAACACAATTGATTAGGTATCTTAAATTAGAGTAGAAACCTTCAAAGGTCAGCAGCAAGGAATGTTCCAGGCCCCTTTTAATTGCCTTGAAAAAAATTTCATCATCAAAAGCTGAATGTGATAATGCTTAGACATCCATCTCTAGCTAAATGAGATAAGCATGCACTACAATCACATTCTATTTAGAATCTCAACTTATAAGTCAAACGATGCATTACAATCACACACTTAATTAAGGGATATCATAAACTAACACCAAGCAAATAAAATTACGGTTCAACTCATACTATATACAATGACAACACAAAAAGAAAGTGTTTACCCGAACTTGGCGAGCAATAGAGCCCATTAAGTGTTGTACCATTTGAAACAAAATTGAAGCCCCAATCCTTATAGCAACAATTGAAACAAAACCCACGAAAAGCCTATAAAAAGTAAAAACCACGAAGTAACTAAGTAATAATAACTATAAATATAAATCCAAATTTCTTACAAAGTACAATATAGCACCTTAAAATCAAAAACTACCATGAAATTCCAACAGAGTGACAATCGAATTCTAACGTTGGTATAACAAATTCAGTACATCAAGTGTCTATATATACACATATCCTCCTATTGAGCAACAGCCAACCTCAAATCCATGATTGCAACGAACGGGAAAAATTAATTGTTAATAGGCGATGCAAAATACAAAAAAATAGGGAAAAAACATATAATGCAAAAAAAAAAAAGCATGAGGAAGACAAAAAAAATATTGTCTTCATAAATTTTTATGAAGCTTGGAGTTGTGACTGCAAATATTCAAGTAGGGCTAAAGCCGAACTCAGTCATACTCATGTATAACTACCACCATTCATTTCAACATTTTCTATCCAAACCATTTAGACAATGGTGCCCTTGTTATTGTAATATAATTGAGAAAAGTGAGTATTATGTGAAAATAAAGGTTCATATTATTTTCTAGATGGCAGTATGTACATTTCCTAGAGATTTGAGTGGTTCTTTTACACTATGATTGGTTTGCGTCTACATTTGTGATGTTTTAATCGAAGCTC